CTGTAGAAATGGGAAGTTTACAGAAAAAATAAATTAATAATAAAACCACTAGTGATCTTTTCGATTCCCTTGGAATCAGATACAAAGCTAGCCACTTAGTAGCTCTGCAGGCTTCAACTACGTGTACTGCTCTAGCATCTGTCTTTGGTGATTCAGCCAGGGTTGATAATGAATTTTCCCTACTCATTTGTCTGTTTTGCTCTTTTCTTTGCTCCTCTCTTTGAAGAGAGGCTCCACAGCCTCTCCGTGCAGCCAAGAGGATGAAGGTAGCCTGCCTCTTGGTAAACTAATTTATACTGAGGTTGATTTAAACTGAACTTGCTGTAAAGCTGGGAAATGCTGGGTGAATAGTAACTGAAGAGCTATCGCATGTTTGCCTCCACAGTTTCTGCTAATGAGAACCTGGTTAATCTCTTAATCCCAAACTGGTTGGTCTCCATCAGAAGAACAGGACATAAACTCCAATTGGGAATTCCTTAAATTAACCCAGCATGAATCTCAGCCTGCGCTTGGATACCTCCTTAGTTACGCTTAGCTGAATTTTACAGGATCAGAATTTAATATGCACTGTCTAGCTTTTCCATTCATGTCTCTTTTCTCACTTCCTCATCTGTTGTTCTCATAAAGCAACCACACAGTATTCTTCAAATATTTTTTCTACTATGTTACTTGAAGCATTTGTTTACTCAAAGCAGCCTTTCCAACTTGTTTCTTGGGGTAGACATGAAACAGGAGCAAAAAAAGGTTACAGAAACTACTGAAAGACGGAAACTGTCTGCAGTTCATTGGATACCAGCAATTACACTCCAGGCAAGCCAATTCCGTAGCGCTGGGAAGTGTGTGTTTTCTCATGAGAAGTCAGAGAAACCATTGTTTTAGTTCCTAATCACTAGGGGCTATTTTGGGGGCTTGGGTTTGGTTGTTCTGCAAATATATTGAGTTACAGTGGCAGACAGAGTGCAGAAGGGTGCAGAGTTCACTAAGTTATTACAGTGATTGGATTCCATTACGGTACATTTGAGAAAGACTTGTAAAGATGAAGCATTTTAATGTGTTTCTAATTGGATACAATTATTAGGTTAACTTACACATGGCTGAAGTCAATTCAAAGTATTTTAATAAAGGTTTCTACATGCAGGTCTTGTTTGTATTTCGCTTCTGCAAATCATTTTTCTAAATGAAATTAGGCAGTTTTACAAGATATAAAGGCAGTTTTACAAGATGTGTTATTTCTCAAGATTTTTATAGCAGAGAAAACAGTGCATAATGTGTTGTCCAATGCATTGAATAAAGAAAATAGATCACTATTTTCTGCATTTTTATACAAACTATTAATTGTGACTATCAAATAGTGTGGGAATCAAAAAACATGGGAATTGCTGATGGTGAAAACAGGGAGCTTCATGGCTAAATGGGGAATCATATTTGAGACGTTGGAGACAGGTTTCTACATTTCATATCAGATTCTACTTCTAATAAGACTGTTGAAGTAACTTTATCCTTGTACTTAGTAACTAGCTTGGCTTGACAGTGAAGGAAGTGGCAAATGGAGGTTGAAAAAAATGAGAGAGATGTTTAAAGATGGAAGATTTCCTTTCTGTTCTCTGTCTCTGAAAATTTGTTTGCATTGAAGGCTGAGTTCAAGTTCAGAAGTGGATTTTCATTTTCAGATATTCTGAGCCAAAAAGGAAAAGCTGCAGGTCTGTGGCAAAGAATGGACAAACAGTGACAGGAATTGGAAAGAGATGGGGGAATAGGGAAGAAGTACATCATATGTTAAGATGTCCTGCTATAGTCTTAGTTACGCTATACAATGATTCCTGAACTATATAGGTGGGGTAATGCTGTATTTTGCTACCACAAGGCATCTGCTTTGATGCTCCCAGGCAATTGCAGCAATTAAGATATGCTGGTCATCCACTCCTTTCCAGAAAGCCCTTGGACGCTATTCTGAGGTACCATAACTTGCCATATACTTCAGTATTTTGAGCTGATAAGGCATGTATTAACTGCAAATATAGATCAACTCAGGTTTGAACTATTTGAGACACTAAAGCTGAAATGTGTGTGAGTTGTAGATTGTGTGCTTGTGTCCACCACATATTTAAACCAGTAGTTCTTTGCGCAATGGAACAACTGATCCCAGATTTCCTTTGCTTTTTGTCCTATGGTTGGAATCTCTTCTGTCTCCACCAATGCAAACTCTGATAGATGCTTTTTCTTCAGGCATTTATTCAGATATTTATATTTTTTCTTCATTGATATTCTCATTTATGATATGAAATGAACTCATGAAGCGGCATCCTTTTTTTTTTTCTCGGTAGTGATAGAAATTGGTTTTCTATCTTCTAGTGGTCAGACAATTTTCTTCACTTCTGTATCTTAGAAGCCCTTGTGAAAATAGATTTAAATAGGCCAGGGTGCTCACATATTTTTTTTTCTCAGTAGATAAACAGACAAAAATTATTCTTGTACATTTGTCCCAAGAAGCTAATTTGAAGAGAGATACTTATGGAGGTAATACAATATGGTTAAGGTAAAGTAAGTACAGCTTTAGCTAACACTGTGGTTAGTGGTTTTTTAGTGGCAGTGCTCACCACAGGTTTTGGTCTGTGAACTTGTGGGCCTCCCTTTTCTCTGCAACAATAGAGATCAAAAGAGCAGAAAGAAGCAGGGCAGGGAGTGAAGTATAACACTCTGATAACCATTCCCCTCCTTTCACTTACATTGCCTTTAAGTTGGAGAGATTATACAAGTAAGTCCCATGAAGAAATAGAGAGGCTAGTCTTGGAAGCAGAGTAGAAGTAAATGAAAAAGTTGCCTATTTGTTCAAGGGAATAAAATGGAAGAAACTGGAAAGAGAAAAGCGACCTTCCATTTGCCCCTTCCTACAATAGCTCAGCTATGAATGAACTGAAATACTTAGATATATTTCTCTGCTATTCAGTTATATTTTTCCCTGACTTGTGTGCAAAGGTCTTAAATTCTGAAGAGATTTATTTGTACATTTCTGATAATACCTGAACAAATCTTGTTCTGTAGCAGCACCTTGTGGGAAGGGAAGGGAATCAGATTACATCCTTTCACACAAACCAGCATTCACAAACGATAGTTGCTAAAAAAAACCTTATGTCTTCCATGAGCTAAGCAATTTATTTTATTCTTGCTGTGGAAATGGTAGCATTTTCCTGACCAAAGGCAAACACATCCCATGGAATGATACTCAGGACTTGACTGCTCCCTCTGCTACTATCCGTGGCATCCAGAGTTCCTGCACTAACAAGAAGTGCCTTTTTGCTGTGCAAAACTAGTAAGCAGCTGGTAGTAAAGTACACATGAGAACGTAAAGTTGTGCTATACTTTGTCAGAGATGTGCTAATCTGATTTGCTGTTCTCTGTACAAATACTTGGTTTAGGTGAAATGGGTGCTACCTCTTTCAGCTCGTACAAATACTTGGTTCAGGTGAAATGGGTGAAATGGGTGCTACCTCTTTCAGCTCTTATTTTACACACTGGGAAAAAAGTGGCTTTTCCAGCCAGGTCTTCAACCATATGTTTACCTTAGTTGTTTCTGTATTTTTTTTTTAGACTAAGATAAACACTATATATTCTGTCATTTGAATAAGCACTTATTACTGTTTTACGGTTGTATGAGTAGTATTAAATGTAAACACAGAAGCTTCATCTCTGCTGGGGGCAAAAGATTAAGCTGAGACATGCTCAGTTTGCAGGCAAGTGCTGTGTTTTGCTGGAGTAAGTGGCTTCCAAATCATCTCCAAAACCTGCTGCATTGCTTGGGCTTCAAAAATGAGCCAGCTTCCGATGATGATTATACAGATATTTTTTTTGAGAAGAAGCACTGTGAAGGTTCTTTCCATCATTTGGATATGAAATTTGATCTTCCACTTTATGGGAAAGCCATCATCCGGAGCCCATGGCACATGTTAATCATTCAGTTTCCTCAGCAGTGTAGTGCTTTAGTGAGTTTTCAACTTCAGTTGAGTACACAAAAACTATCCATCTCAGTGAGCCTGCAGGAAAGCTGTTGTGAAATGGCTGAACTAGAGACCTGGGGAAGGATCCCTGGAGTTCACTTTCTTCCCAGGACTGTGGTACTACAGGTGTGTTCGGAGGAAAAAAAAGGTTAAGGACTCATTTTGATCTGTTTGAAAATTTCCCTTGCAAAATGCTCAGCAGCTCAATTAGTTTGAGGCACTCATGGTGCCATGAAGACAGGTTGTTGCAAGGAGAATGCTAATAAGGGATCGTTTCTCTCCAAATCTCTTTACTGACACAGATGATCACGCTTGTGTGATTAACCCAACGGTTACAAGCATGTGAGCTTAGGAGGGCAGATGCCTTAGCTGTAAACTGTGACATGTATCAGGAAAGACTTAATCTTGCAGAAACCATTTCCTATTAAGTTTATGAAAGCTATGTCATAAATGTGTTATATCATGCAGAGTTGATATATAATTTATAAACTAACAAGAAAAGGAGTTGATGGCTTTGGTGAACAAAATACTTGGTTTTAGAGTCAGGCCGTTTGGGTAAATGGGTTAATTTCATACGTGGCAGGAATTAATTCTGTTTGCAGCTTTGAAAGAAAATCTCAGAAAATTGCTTTTACAGACCAAAAGATGATAGATACCATCTCTGATCTTTCAGGATATTAAGGGCCTTCTTGTGCTTCAAGCAATCTAATAATATCTAGGAAGTTCCACATGTGGCCTTGTGGAACATGTCTTTTGGAAATACAAAGACAGTTGTGCAGAACCATGGATCAGCCTCAATTTTTGTAATTTTTTAGAAAAGGGATCCCAAATATGTTTTCACAAACTCATAGAAAACTAACATACTTTGGCCTAAATGCAACTGAGATAAAGTTCTAAGAGAAAATGTATTCCTATGGGTACCAAATACCAATACAAGAACTTTGAATACTAGTTACTACTTAGTTTTAAACCTTTGCCATGCTTGGATTTTAATGGCCAGTTAGGATGTGTATCTCATCTAGGATACAAGGTATGTTAATCTCAAAAGAAAAAACAGTATTTGACAAAAAGGGAAAATAAATAAATTATTTTATCGTTTTGTTTTACAGGAGGCAATAAGCTGAAGAATCAACATTTTCGCCTAAACTGGGCTTGGATCTCCTTAGAAAAGGAATATTATTTAGTGAATGAAGACTCCAAATATCTGGATGTTGTTCTTAAACGAAGAGGTTACCTGGGAGAAACCTCTTTTATAAGTAAGTTCAGTTCTAGTCTTATCAGTCACTTCTATACTACGCTGGCAAGCAAATTCTTGAAATGCATCAATGCAGCTATATCCTTTTACTGATGTATACCAAATAATTTGAATTAGTTACCTAGAACGTTGCTTCTCCTAAAATAACTTCATTAGTTAAGTTGAATCTTTAAAAATATTTAAATCATGTAAATAATATTTACTGAATATAATATAAAAATAATAAAAATGAATGCATAAAATTTATGATGTTAAAATGATGTTAAAATAAGAATAGTGCATCAAATTGTCCTTTTATAAATAAAAAAGTAAATCTTCAAAGTGTTCAGAAATCATGAACAGTCATGATGCAGTCATAGAAAATTTTCTTGCCAAGAGGGATTGTGAAAGGACTGAATATCCCCTTTGAAAACTGTGTGTATACAAACCCATACATCTAGAGCTCTAGCACACAGATTTATTAAAAGACCAGTACAAACCTTAACTAATATTATAAATAAAATGAAAAGTTTTAATGAGAAGCAGTGTTAATTCATTGCCTGTACAGTTTGGAATTATTTTATGAGCAGATACCTAGGTCTGGTACCAGTATTGTATATTTTTCACAGATCCTTTCTGGATTTTTTTTCTCTCTAATAAGAAAACATATGTATAGCAACTTGGTAGCAATCGTGATACTTTTTCTTTTTGGAATGCTGTTGTGAGCTGGTCTGATTAAGCAGTGACCAGCAAGTGCGCGAGCAGTAAGCTCATTTTCTTCAGTCAATGTTGGCAGCCAATTGAGGCTGATACAGGAGGTGTTGAAAGCTGCTTGCAGTGTCTGGAGACTGAAAAGGTGAAAAAAGATTGTGTTATCACATTCTGCAACCTTACACCTATCTCTGGCTTCTGGATCTGCTTCCATTCTGTTCCTTCTCCATCCATACTGTTGATGCATTTGGACCAGCAAAGATTATTCTTGAATAATTTCAGGTTAAAACTCCTGGTGGGCTCATACTGCTTAGAAAAAGCTCTCAGTTTGAGGCTGATTTTAGGCAAGTATGTAAGCATTTACCTGACGTGAAGCATAGACTCTTCCTTAGAAATGGGGCTTCTGTTATAGGCTCTTTGTGAATTATAATTTCAGTTTCAAGTACTGAGATATAGTTGGGCCACCTAGCTAGCTAGGAAATTTACAGGAACTAGGTATTAATTAAATGAATCTAACTTGAAAGACTCTGTTTTGAACAGTTAGTTAACTTTGGTAATGTTTGTATGAAATAAAGTAAAAGAATGATAGAGATAAGGAAAAAAGTTAAGGATGTGTGGTTTAAATTAATTACTGATATTGGTTAACAAAAACTGATATGACTTCTGACTTTCAAAAAATAGTGTTTACAATTTTTTTTTCTGAATTCAGCAGACTTGAACTCCAAAAAGAGAACTGACAAACAAGGGTAACAAATTTGAATAATTTGTCTTTGGTTGACGACCTTAGTCATGCAAAATGGATAGGACAAGAGAAAATAGCCTCAAGTTGCACCAGGGGAGGTTCAGGTCAGATATTAGGAAAAATTTCTACACAGAAAGAGTCGTCAAGCATGAGAACACGCTGCCCAAGGAAGTGGTGGAGTCACCATCCCTGGCAGTGTTCAAGAAACGTGTAGATGAGGCATTAGGGACATGGTGTAGTAGGCATGGTGTCGTGGTGGGTTTGCTGTTGGACTTGATGATCCTGAACATCTTTTCCAACAATAATGATTCTACAAAAAGAGCATAGAAGATATTGAGTAAGATACTTACTAGCCTTTCTGATCCATACACAGGGCTGAGGGGCCTGAAGGGATATAGAGGTTAAATAAAAGTTTGGTATGATGAAGGAGGAGAGCAAGCAGGAAGTGAGAAAGGCAAATTTGTAGGGAGAGGTGGTAACTTTTAGTATATTAAATGGTACAGTTGGAAGAAGTGGAGAAGGGATGAGGTAAGTTTTTGAATTCTTCTGAGAACCTTTGACATTTGGGTGGTGCTGTGGCATTGGAACAGAAGCCAGGTGCATGAGTTGGAGACAGTTCTAAAGGACTGATTTTCACAAAGGACTTTCAGACAGCCTTGAACCAGGGGAGAAATGTCAATTAAAAGTCGTTTTAGGAAAGTAAACTTGCCAGTCAGCTCAGAGAACGGAGAGCTTTTCTAGCATTTTGCCTTTAGTTAAAATAATTGGTCTGTTTTCATCTGTATTTGTGACACTCATATAGAATTGATCAAGAGGAACACAGTTAGCTTGAGCAGTCTTAAGTTGGGAAAATTGTATTTTTCTAAGTTTTCTTTCTTTAAAAAAAAAAGCTTTTTGAAGTAATGAGAGGAAAATACAACTGATGTTTTTAATTATCTAAATTTTTGTTTTTGGCAGGTATTAGTACTAAAGATGGTACTGCCAAGAAAGATAGAGACTTCAGAGGAAAAGCCCAGAAACAGGTGCAGTTTAATCCTGGCCAAACTTTAGCTACGTGGCGAGTACGGATTTTAAGTGACGGTGAACATGAACAGTCAGAGTCCTTTCAAATTGTTCTTTCTGAGCCTGTAATGGCAGTCCTTGAGTTCCCCGATGTGGCCACTGTGGAGATTATTGATCCAGGAGATGGTAAGAACCTTTTCAGTAATGTATTGTTAATGTATGCATATACCAAAGGAATTAAAGAGTCAACAGTGAAAATGCTGTTTCCAGCTCCAAAACCATCCAGTATGCTTGCAAACACAGAGCATATCAACATAGATGACAGGAGGCTACTTAATTTACTCTTCTATGATAATTCATGTGAGAGAGAGTGGTACAGGAAAGAAGGCTAATTGACCGCAAATCACTTCAGGTGCAGATGCGGACTAGTTGTGTCAGTTAGGCCTTAATATCAAGCTGAGAATCTGCAAAAGCAGAGTTCAATGGACCAAGCACACCTCCAGGCTAGGGACAGTAGACGAGATCAAGACATGAGTTTCTACAGCTATATGGTACTTTATTACATTATGAGCACTTATGTATTTCTAGTAGCACAAGGTCTTTGCACCACATTATTTCACTGAGTGCATGGCTGCTGTCTCCCACAAGCTGCCTTTGACAGCTGAGGAGAGGAGCTACATACACCAAATATTTTTTGCAGGTGATGAACAGGCAGAGATACTGTCCCACATAGCTGCTCTCCCACCTCCCAATACACAGGCTTAAAAATAAGTGATACCTACAAAATTAGCCTCAGTTTTTTGGCTGCCCTCTTCCCAGCAATCTGCAACAGTTACTATGGCCCTTGCCATAGTATAGGAAGAGAAAAGGCAGGAAGTGTGCATGTCCAAATAGTTTTCATTCAGAATAACATTTAACAGCTGAGGTGTCAAGCAGATATAAAATGACAGTTAAATGTAGGTGAAGAATGAACTGATAACAAAAAAGAAAAAAAAAAAAGTGCTCTGGTTGCAATCCATTGGCCTTGCTTTTCAGCTGCAGCCAGACACTTGAACCTGTGGGTCATGATCACACAAAAACATCATTAAGGAATCCTGCAGGAGATAGAAGACCGTAGCAGCTTGTTCTATATAGTCTTTTCTAGTTAACATCTGAAGAGAACTGAGCAGGAGAACTGTCAGATTTTTTTTTAGTACCAATACAAGTTAAATCAAAGGTTATCTGACAGTCATATTTAGTCACTGAGACAAGGCGTGCTGAAAATGAAATGTAGAATGTGTGAGACAGAAATGGCTTGAAAATATATCAGATCTATTTATATATATCTCTATGTATTTATAATACCTTATAATACCTTTTATAATACCTTTTCCATGAAAAGAAGAAAAATTGGGATAGTCTGGGGTTTCCTAATGCCAGCAATAAATTTGCCTATTTCATGGATCGAGATAAAATATTTATAGTTCCAGAAAACTTGCAGTAATCTATTTGCAGTAGTTTTATAAACAAACTAGTAAATTACATAGGAAAAACCAAGTGCATAATCAAGTAATATCTACCAGGAAATTATAAATAGCCCTTTGAGGGGAAGGATTTGGTTTCTCAATGATCTTTTACAAAGATGAATAAGCAAGTTCAGATGCTAACTGAATAGGAACTGTCAAGAGTTTTATCCTCTTTCCAATGAAGCTGACTTTTAAACTCACTGATTTGAGTAGTGCAGTCCTAGTACCAAAACATGGGAACCTGTACCAGCCCTTTGGTGCATAGGAAATTAATTAATGCTTTATGCCATAAAAAGATTTCACAAGGATGTATTTTTATATGCCAGCTGAGAAGAATGGAGATTAAGCCTTGATTTTTAAATCAGTGGTATAGATCGTTCTTCTCTTATTCTTTATGTTAGTCATAAGGTCTGTTAAACTTATAGAATGTGATTTTATTCCTAATTGAATAATTATGATAGAAACAGGAAGCACAGAACAAATCTCATTTCTGTATTTATTCGAAAGATAGTCAACTTAACTGTAAAGGGAAAAATAAAAGGACAAGTGAATTCTTTAATGTTACCCTCTGCTTTTAACTTAAAACAAGAAGATCAAGTTTATTTGTTTTTTTTTTGTATTGATTTTTTGACTTCCTGAAATAGTAGAAATGTGTAGATCTTATCATACCTGAATTACAGCATTTTTAAGGCAGGATTTTGACATTCAGTCATGCTAGTAGTATCTTCCACTTTGAGAAATAAAACCTGGAATATCCCTTCAGAGAGATCACAATTTTTTTTCAGAAAAATTGTTTGCAAATTACTCTGAAATAATTAAATATTTTCTGCAGTCAGTAAATGCTGTTTGGTGTGATATTTTGCAGAATTACATTGAGTATTAAAGCAGACTTAATTAGATTGCAGTTGTGCTATTAGAATTGTAAATGTGCTCCCTATATAACTGTTCTTTGTTCCTGAGATTTTAAGGAATCAAGAACAAAATGGATCCTGAATGCCAGCGACATGATAAAGCATAGTCATCTGCTTGTATGAGTATAAAATAATGAGTTGAAAAATAGGATCCTGAAAATTAGTATCTGGCATTCTTGGGCCTGATTTTTAGGAGACAATTACTCTGCAGGCTCCACTGACTGGATAGATCTGCAGATGTGGCTAGATCTGAGTAAAATAGAAGTGTAAACACTTAGCCAACTGAAGTCAGAAAGCCGAGTCAGGATTTGAATCTCATCCTTATCATCATCCTCAATGCTGTACCAACACATTCCCTCAAAATAAGAAGCAAGTGCTACATCTGTCTTTATAAGTATCCTCAGTACCAAATGATTGCCATGGTTGTCAGCATGTAGTAAGTTAGAGATTAACTGTACCACTGCCTGTGTGTGATAAATTTTGTGATTAATAGCTCATGAAATAACATGGAAATAATCATAGGCTAACCCTGGTGAATCAGTCTTCCAAACTTTTCTTGCCTGATTGACCCTAACTAAGTAAATTAATAACATAAAGGACTACTTTGTAAGAAGTTGTGAGATCAGACCTCATGATCTGGCATTATTTTTATTTCTGAGTCAAAAAGACTGTTTCTCTCACCCTCCAACTTTTTATTAATGTTAACTCTATTACTGATACATTCAAGTTATTTGTTGCATTTAACATATTTTAAGATGCTTCTAGCTATTTCACTTGTGTCTTTCTGAGGCCATAGCACAGCGTAAACAAATGTGTCTGATCTCTGCAGAATCAACTGTCTTTATTCCTCAAGCCACCTATACTATTGAAGAAGTTGTTGGTGAATTGTTTATACCAGTCAGAAGAAGTGGAGATGTGAGCCAGGAACTGATGGTTATCTGCTACACACAACAAGGTAGTAGAATCAAAAACAGGAAAAAAAAAAGTGAAAATGGAATGAATTGTTCCATCTATTGCATAATGTTTATACATCTGATAATGATTTTTTTTTATCTAAAGATCTTCAGTTTCAGTTCCATATATAATCATCTTCACAATCTGCCGTAAAATCTTATTCAATACAGCCAAAAGTTATCAGGTTCCAAATTGCTGCTTCTTGCTAGGAGGTGATATCATCTATGTTCTTTATCATTTTTCAGTACTTTTGTATACACCTTCTACTATCTGAAAGTAATTTAATTTGAAAACACTGCAGTTGTTGCCCATGGTAGCCTGTACCTGTTTCTATCTTTAAAAAAAATGGTTATAGAATAATACTACTTAATATCTATCATTTTCCTTCCTCTCCCCACCAGTCTTCCATTAATTACACCCATATGGAATTTTTCTAACCACATATGTTGTATGCTGTTCTCTCATTACTTTGCATTTGTATAAATAAGCAACATTTTTGATGAGGTGATCTTGAATTAAAATAATTTCTTTTTATCAAATTGTATCTAGATATAATTAATTTCTTGTCCACTAGCAACCTCCACTGATAAAATACACTGAAGAAGTTAATTTGTAGGCCTTTGTCAGTGTATGTCTCCTGTGATAAACTATAAAATTCCTTCCAGATGAAATGCTGCAGATGAAATTGAGGAGTCATATGTCTTCTGTAGACATTTTATACAGTAGAACTAGTTTTCCAGAGAGTTCAGAAATGTAGCCTGGTCAGAGATCTCAGCCCATCTTATCAAATAAATTTAAAAGATAATGAAAATAAAATTCATCCTCTGTGAGGAGATCATTATAATTGCTCTGTCTATGATGACTGTTACCTTTTATGCCACAGGAACTGCATCTGGCACTGCCCCAAGCTCTGTACTGTCTTACTCTGACTATATATCCAGACCTGAGGATCACAACAGCATTCTACGTTTTGACAAAGATGAACGAGAAAAAATGTGTCGTATAGTCATCATAGATGATTCCTTGTATGAAGAGGCTGAAACCTTTGATGTTTTGCTAAGCATGCCAATGGGTGGAAGAATTGGTGCAGAATTCCCAGGAACTCGGGTTACCATTCTACCTGACAAGGACGATGGTAAGGCTTTTTGTAACAAGGTGATATTCCCAGTGCAAGGCAGAAGCTCCAAGCATAATCACACTAAAACTGCCATGTAGAAGTTGATTTCTGTATTTCCCTGGTAGTAAACATCAAAAGATAGGAAAATATTGTTAGAAAACTATGTGATTTTTTTAAGTATATAGTATAGACAGTTTAAAATTTGAGCAAGTAACATGAGCAAATTGGGAGTTAGGGAATGTATCTTTTCATTCTACCATAGTTAACAGGTGTAATCCAAAATGTCACGCTCCGTGGGAATCCTTCTATGTAAGATTTTGAGACTGTGTCCACAACATGTTCAGGTTCGTTGATCACTGTTCTCTCAGTGGTCAGCCAAGAGCTAATGATGGACCAGAAACTATGGAGCAGTTGCTAAGTGGAAGACTATGTTCGTTCTCATTTGATGTTGCGTTTGCAAGTATCCGGGTGTGGTTTCTATGTCCTTCTAATAAATCAAGTAATCGAAAGATTGGAATGCTTTAGAAATCCCCATCAGGGAGGGATTGTTAACAAAATCTTGTCCTTTTTAAATGTTATTACTTTGAAAAAAAAATCTAGCAATGAATTAGGAGTTTGTAACCGAGGAAGAGTAGGACGAGTGCAAAATATATTACCATTTGCTTTGAAAAGTACATATCATCACCATTACAGCCTCAAGGCTCTTCTTCATTTCTGCTAGCACTGATGGAGTAAAACTGTTTCAAGGAGTGTCAGCAAAAAGGTTTTCTGGTGCAGTTGCCTTCATTTATGCATGGAGCTGGTGGAAGTCGGAGGCTAATCCTTCGACTATAAAATGAGGGAAAGGCATGATGAGCTTTTATTCCCCTCCATGAGGCTCTAAACCACTGACTGTGAAGCTGTCGTATTTCCGGAGGACTGACATGGGGAATTACATAGTATGGCATTCTTTGGAAGTCTAACGCCAAGATAGACTGTTATTATGAATACACAGTGATTTCTCCCTAATTACGGATATGAAAAAGTAGCTTTTAGAGGCTGGAAGTTGGCACCCATGTAATTGCATCATAAATACTTGGTCTACCTGAAGGGTAATTCCTGCGACAGAGGTGACTGTGTTTTCTCTGTGAACATTTGAGTAAGCGGATAGAGAATTAATGAGGTGCAGCAATTTGAAACACTGCTTCTTGTAAAGTTAAAGAAAATGTTTCAAAATATAAATGCCACGTTTATGTGACTTTGTTGTCATGTTTATCCCAGCAGTTTTCATATAATAACTTGATTTTTGAATAATTTTGTTGAATTCATAAACTTCACAATTTTCACATCACAGAGCATAAAATATTATGGGTATTATGGACATATAAAATATGCCCATGAGTAAGCTGTTTGCCCAGATTTGAAGATGTCCTTCCCATTTAAAAATATATTGAAAGTTTCATGGATTGGTAGGAGATTTTTTCCGCAAGAGGCTGTGAAAAGTAATAGAGTTGTGATCAGGGCATCTCCCATCTTAACGCAGACCTTACTGTCAGTGACAGAACAGTTTTAGATACTGCTTTATCATCTAGATTAAAATGTTATTACTCCTAGGTTTCCACACTCATTTTAATGGTAACCCAGACTGACTTTGAATAAGAAATGATAACAATTAATGAATCAGAACATAGTACATTTTACTGAATTCTATAGTCCCTGTTAGTCTCTTTATTCCATATTTATTGCTGTATTCTTCTTATTATTTCTTCGTTTAAATTCATTTTCTACTTAGAAAAGTTTATTTGGACAAATATGCCACCATGTCATTAAACTGTGATTTCTGCAAACACTGTGACTGAATTAGCATCATGTATCACCTTCTTCAGGCACCAAGATGCAATCAGCAAAGGTCAAAGTTTAATAACACTGCATCAGGTGTTTCCTATGGAAGCCGTCAGCATTATCAATCAGCATCACATTAGTTCCACTAGCAATGGATGCAATTTAATTAGGAAACATTCACCTTTGATACCTATCATCGAAGTCTTTCTCCTTTTATTTCTAGCAAAGGCCCCTAGGGTCAACTACTATAGCTGAGTTGCTATGTAATCATCACAGTAAACAGAAAATAAGAGAGGTACTCAACTTGCTAGGGGAACCAAAGTATGCTAAAGAAATTCCAAGGAACAGAATGCTTTAATTAGGACTTACACAGTTGTGCTGTGCTGACAAATAAAGCTTTGAAAAAAAGAAATCATAGTATGTAGAACAAGCCCAGGTATATTTAGAAACTGAGAAAGGTAATTTTAAAATCCACAAGAGAGCTTTCCTTTATAGTAATATATTTTTAATGTAACTATTCAGTAAGAGATTTGATAGTGGGTATATAAAGTAATTTTAGGTTTTGGAATAAGGAATAAGTAATTTTAGGTTTTGGAACAAGGCTTAATTCAGTGAAGTAGAAAGATACAATTGTTTAAGGAGAAAATCTAAAGAAATAAATACTGAAAGAATGATTCAGAAGGTACTTAGATGCTCAAAATAAATTCCAAAAACAAACAAGCCTGACCATTGTCTATACAAATACGACTTGTGCTAATGCATCTACCCAGAACTGACAGATTGAGCTCCTCGTCTTCATGCCTCTCAAGGGTTTAGGGAGTGAATAGAAATCCCTAAACAGGATTCAGTTTAGGTCTGTTGATGAGATCAAGATGTGCCTATCCCACATAGAGAGTACAGAGCTCACCATAAAGCTCATTTGGGGAAGGCAATTAATAGATTAATATTATGCATCCAGGAAAAGGGAGATGACAATGCTGTGCACTTTTCATTCATGTTGGAGTGAGGAGTCCTAGGATTTAGTCTCAGAACCTGAAAATCATCAATCTGCAATCTTCTATAGTAATGCCTTAGTCCCCAGGCACTTGGCTAAGCAAGATCAGGCTGGAAGCTCTCTGTTTTTCTTACTGCAGCTGTGACTCTGATGGCATTTCACATAACTGAAGAAAAAAATCAGACTAAATTCTGTTGCTAGTGTTCATTTTGGAGCCTGTGATTTGGTTCTGACATGTAGTAGTGCTGAGACACTGTGTACAACAAGTCTGATACAAATACATGAGTAGTCCCTACAGAGAGGCCTGCAGCGATAGCTCTGCATTCTACCAGTCAAAAACCTTGATTGCTGTGCTACTGATTTGCACTCTTTCTTGCTTGTTTTGTTGTGTGTATTCAGTGCAAATTTAAAACTGTTAGTTTGTAATCACATTCAGAAGTCATAAGAGACGCGATGTGATGAATGCAGGATTGGAAGTTTGCAGATGAGAGGTGAATGTTTACATTTATTTTGTGTGTATCAAGTTTTTGTGAGCCACTATCTCCCCAAGTGATTTTAATTCCATGCTCTTAGTATCTAGTGTTGCCATGAAAGCACACTGCCTTACTGCAGGGCTGGCAAATATTCTTCTTGCCTTAGAGGAATTGTTGAAGCCTCATGCTGTTCACAGCAGGAAGTACATTAAATACATTTGTTCCACTTCATTCATATTAGATAGGCAAGCAGCCATTCAGACTTCTGCATCCCCTCCTTGCTTCTGAAATTTTAACATCAAAGCTGGGAAGGCAAGAGACTCAGGTTTACACTGGAGGTTTTTTACCTTATTCTTTATATTTCCTCAGCAGAATACATCACTCACATCCTTTTACAGATAATTAAACTATGTGATCATATGATCTGGTCATGCTAATTCAGAAAAGCAGTGTTAGAGGTCAAATGGAACAAATGAATTCTTGAGTCTTCTCAGGATTTCTTCAAAACACTTCCTATCACTCACCCTGCAGATAAGTGAACTGTGGAAATCCTTAGGCCATGTTGCAGAAATCAGTAGCCACTAGAATTTGTCCAACTTGCTTGGAGTAGTAAAGGGTGCCATATGGACATTTTCTGTCAATAGCCTGAAAGGATGCAGAAAATCAGCAGTGCAATGCTAGATTGTAAATACATGCTTTACATTAAACCTCCCAATAGGCAAACAGAATTAACAAACTTTCAGTGGGCACACTGAGCCAAATTTTGAGCTGCTGATAATTAAATATTCTGTTAGTAGGATGGTTCATGAGAAGAACATCCTTGTCTCACAAGGCTACCTGGCATCTCTTTTATTCTACTGCCTCTGGGAAAGGTGATCCAACATGACCTTTCCTTTTTGAGACTGGGTGTGCCACAACTTTAAACTGAATGGGTGATTGGTTGATCTTGACAGCTGAATTCGTATCTGCTAGTCTATTTGTCCAATTTTAATTATAACCCAAACCATCTAGGCAAAGCATGTCCAATGTTATATCAGAGACTACAATCAAAATTTGGCCAAATACCCTTCACCCTTTTCTGGAAAGAATCAAAACAAACTAGCCATTCTTTCATCCTCTGTATAGACATTGTATTTCTCCCTTTTCCACTTTTACAAATTGCTGTGATTCTCATGGTTCCAGCACTTATAATTCTGTATAGCTTTTAACATTTTATTTGTCCTGTTTTTAGGTAAAATCTGCACATGACCCCTCCCCTTTCCCCAGTCTGTGGCAGGTGGCCACAGGGAGAAAAAGTGGATGATGGCCATTTTATGGCACATTCCTAGTTTTCTTTATTTTTTCTTACTATTGTCAGTTCAACAGAATAAAAAATGTTCGGTTTATAATGATAACCTTAAAAATTTTCGAAAGTCCCTGTTTGCTGTCTGTCACAGAAATAAATTGATGTCAGATCTTATGGTAGGACATTCTGTAGGGACAACCAGATGCATTTATGATTTGAGTTTCTATTATCCATTACTGTCAGTTATATATGTGTATACATGTACACACACACTATATACATATAAACTACAAGTGTTAGATCAATCTCATCTTCACTTTAGCCACTTAACAGTTAGGCATGTAGTCTAATCTTACAATCTCCCTTGATATTGAAGGGAAGAGAGAGTATGACCTCTAAACAGTGCTTTATCACATCTATTTCATATGACTCCTTTAAGATAGAT